TTTTGCCTCTGTGAAACAAAGCTTAATATTAATGATTTTTAAAAGAATATAAAATAAGTCCATCTCAGTCAACATTAATTGTTGGTTATCAATATTTTTCCGAACATTACAATAAAAAGCTAACATTGATAATGTTATGAACACTCAGAAGTATAAAAAGTTATGAAATCTTATGATTTAAGCAACGATTAGCTTGAATCTCTTCTCTTCATATACTAAAATGGATACATACTAATTAGGCAAACAAAATTTATTGAAAATTCTTAAATCAGATGAAGAATGCACTTTAAAAAAAGAAAACATGTTCAAAGATTCTGTTTATTTGTTAGTTGATTATCTTTCCTGATGTTACGCAGTGAATACCAAAATTCGATGTGAAAATTGTTAACCAGTACAGTAAAACAAAAATTTAAAACCAGTTTCATATCATAAACATAATTTCTGCTTTTTTTCTGTTTTTTTCTGATAAAATTTCTGTTATTTTCTGCTTTTCAGACTTCAAAAGGTGGCAACACTGAGTGTAAAACTCATAAATCAATGAAAGGAAATGCTAGAGATCTGAAATTCTCTGTGATTGCAGATTACTGAGAGACTAATAGGACTTAAAGAATTGTTCACATCCATCAACAAGAAAAGAAGTTAGTAGCCAAATATCGTACAAACTTCAATCGTACCAAAAAGTAGCAATTCATTAATTGGTATTAAAAATTTATTACGAATTGAATGGTGAAAAAAGTACTGCACTTCATTTTTTGTATTCATGAAAATTGGTCAATGAGAAAAATAGTCAAGAAATATATTTATAAAAGAATAAAAGTTTTTTTTAACAAAAGTTTTCAGCTGTATGAAAAAATAATATGTTATCAGTTGGACTTCATGTTTAACGTGTTCGTTTTTAAGTAAATTGTCAACCCAGCTGAGATAAATAATCTTTCCATCGAAGCAGTAGTCGCTGGTATGTCAATTTACTCTTCAGATTACTATTGATAATAATGGAAAATCACAACGGATCTCCCTAATACGCCAGAATTTCATTGGGTCACAATTAATGAGATAACTTAGGTGTACTGCAGGACACAGGTCGTATGACGTTCTCTGATCACGACTCAAGTCAGTCAGCTGTTCTTAGCTTCAAAATTCGACAGTATTCGGAATAGTTTCCTTATATGGTGACGGATGATTCATTCTTAAAGTTAACATTAATATTTTAGATGTTATATCCATATATATTGTAATTATTGTCTTGTGTGACATAAATTTGCTTGTGATGAACTGTAAAATATCTCGAACACTCTTTTGACATAGTTTATAGATTATGAAAAATGTTTTTTTTCATCTACTTTTAATATTAGTAACCTGCTACAAGCATATTGATAAGAGTATACTATGCAAGGATTAATATTAAGCTTTGTTTCACAGAGGCAAAACGACTGAGAAAAATATTTATTTGTATCTTTGTCTAACAGATTTGTTTAATAATTTAATTGAGAAGAAAATCGATCTCGCAATATATTACAAATGCAAATTAAAAACAAACAAGCCGCGTTCGATATAATGTCATTCGTCTAGGATTTAGTTTTTCAAATTTTATTCTATAAGTTACAAAACAAAAAAAAAACACTTTATGAACTTTTAGAATGTTCAATATGTATTGATTATCCTTTTTTGTTTTCAAAGAAGAATGACCTTATTAAAAAGAACATTGCTACAAATAAAATAGAATTTGGTTTTGACAGTTGTAACAGATGGGTTATATATTAAATTTTTTTGGGGTCATGTAGTCATGGGCGTCCTATTTTGCTTATCCTACCATTTTAATGTAAATTAGCCTAGACTTCAAGCTAAGAAGTGATAATTAGAATGTCATTTCACCAGGAGCATAATATACATAAAAGATTACTTTATGTCGCTAGTAAAAAATTCACGAAGAGAAATCTTCACTCATTTAATAGTTAACTAAGACTTTGTAAACTTAGTTTGCTCATATATTTAAACAGAAAAAGTATAGAAGCATTCATATCTTGATACATTGTTAATAATGAGTGCAAGTTCAATGACTGCTTTTACTCTTCAATTCATTCGAATTACACCAATTCCTGTAGTGGTTTTTGGCTGTATCGGAAATATTCTCAATATTTTAGTTTTTATGCGTCCTAGATTAATTAAGAATCCTTGTTCAACTTATTTGATATGTTCATCAATAGCCAATTTGAATGTTCTCATTTTTGGTTTAGTAACACGTTTTCTTTCTGATGGTTTAGGTATTGATATTGTTTCAGCAAATTTAGGATTTTGTCGTTTTCGTTATTTTATTCTTTATTGTTCAATGGTTCTTTCATCTTGGTTTACTATATTAGCTGGTATTGATCGTTATTGGCTTAGTTCTCGAAATGCTCAACGTCGTCGATTAAGTAATTTGAAATATGCACGTTATTTAGTTGTTTTAACAACATTAATTGGTTCAGCTCTATATTGTCATGTATTTGTCATGTTTACTATTGAACAACTTAGCTCTGGTCCATATTGTTATGCTCAAATAGGAACTTATCGAATCTTTTATGATATGTTTTATGTAACTACATTTGCTTTTATACCACCTATAGTAATGATTATTGTTGGATTAGCAACTGTTTATCAGATTCATCGAAGTCGTTTACATGTTCGTCCATTAACAATGAATAATAATACAAATGCTAGTCAATTAAGAAAACGAGATCGACAATTGTTAAAAATGACACTTGTACAATTTATTTTTATTATTGCAGTTACAACACCTGTTGCTGTTCAAAAATTTTATGCTACATTCACACAAAATGTAATCAAAAGTCCTTTTCAATTAGCAGTTGAAAGCTTTATTGCACAATTAATGAGAATGTTAGTCTTTGTTAATAGTAGCACAAGTTTTTATGTGTAAGTAGAGATGTTTTTGTGGTATGTGAAAAGTATATTTTTATTTTCAGATTTTTTGCTACTGGCCGTGGATTTCGTTATGAATTCGATCACTTTATAGTCAAAATCATTGGATACTTATTTGGTAAAAATACTCGGTTTTATAGACGAGTTCAATTCTTCTTCGGAGTCTCGTCAGTAAATCAACTACGTAGCATGAATCAACTAACAACTATGCTTAACAACGATCAAAGTGTCAAAAATTAGAAGGCTATATTTAAAAATTTTCATAGACAATTTACATTGTAATTATTTCGGTACTATATCTTTGATATTGTAACGTACTGCTTATGTTTTTTTTTTGTTCGTTTCATTGAAATACATATTTCCTATAATAAATATCTTAAAATAAATATAAAAGATCACGTGATAAGCTGCATCTAATGGCGTTCGAACGAACTTTCTAACTCTCAAAATGTTCGCGATAATTGAAAACGTTTGTCAAAAATGTAACAGCGTTACATTTGGACAAGCCGAGTAGCGTCTTCTATCTTTTTTTTAAATATTGGTTTAGCTTATTCGTCTAGGTTAAAGTTTTTATAAAAAAAAAGCTTTCATTTGTCTATTATAGATTTCTCTGCTATTTTTGCGCATGGCCCAATTTTTATATTGATTGATTTTTGCGTCGACTATTTTTCACTTTTCCAATTTTCTTGCTTGTTTTCTTAATGAGTCATTGTATGTGAGGAATAAGCAGTACTATACTTTGACGATTAAATCTTTTAATTTTTTTCTGTCTCTCAATAATATTCAGATAAATTTTGTCGTTATGTTATTATTTATTCAAGCAAAAATAACTGATTGTATTCTCAGAGTGCGGAAAACATTCAGATTTTCTCAACTAAGAAAGAAATTAAAATTTATTTTTCACTTTCGGTTTATTAACAAGAGAATATATCGATTATTTCAAATAAAAATACAAATTATTCAATTATAAATAAATAAAGTTATTGGATATTTTTTTATGTACATTTTTGTGGCCCAAGAAAATCCATATTGTAATAACTTGCTCCACCCGACGATGCACGACGGAAAAAATTTCGAAGTGGACCAAGAAAACTAGACGAGGGATTGGAGATTGATTGCGGTTTTTTAAACTCGAATACGTTAACCAGTTCAAGTGTATTTCGAGTGAGTACAGTTGATGAACGTCGTCGATGTGATTTATCAACTACCTGTACAATAATGTTAAAATAAAGTGAATCAATTTTCTTGGTGACCGAATCTAATTCAAATTTAACATAATCTAGTTGAATTTCATCATCCAGACCTATCCTTGAAATAAATGCATCAAGTTCAGCAAGACGTTTAAGATTAGTTCCTTTGAATTGGTCGAGAGAAGTACGTAGTTCATTGGCTAAATGACTGACTTCTGTTTGTTTACGTTTCTCCATTTCATTAAGTACTTGTTCCATTTGACGTGACGAAGATGCATCAAAACTTTGCCGCCATTTACGTACTTCATTAGAAGCTTTTTCTTCTATTGAATCAACTTCTAGTTGACATAGTTTCGAACGCAACGCGTTTAATTCTTCTCGATACGATTCAATAACTTGTTTTTGGTCCATTACTTTCACTGTTTTGCTTACTTTTGTTTTTTACAACTGAAAGGCAAAAAACGCACGTACAACGACAGTCAGGTAAAAGAAAATAGGCAATTACAACACGTGACCATGCGAGAATGAGAATAGCGCAGCTATTTAGCTGTTTCATAAACATAGTGTGGTATAAACAATACACAGGTACATTGATTCTATCGAAATTAAAAATTTTGTATTCAGACAGCACAATAAAATGTGCAAAATCAGCTCTACAAGACAATCATTTGTGATAAAATGATGAATGGTAAAATTTCTGTGGAAGATATATGTACTTATCCAAGGACGAACTTTTTTTTTTTTTATCTTGGCAACCTTGATGAAAGCCCGTGTAGGACTCAAACAAAAAATGTTTTCACTGTATGGAAACCCGTCCAATTGAGAAAAAGTTCTAGATTAATACTAATAGAAATCAATTTGAAAAGAACTCAATATTTCATTAGCTTGAATCTTCATATATTGATTCCAACGACACAAAATAAGCATCATAATATTTTAACTTGTCTACGAAAATATCAATTATTATCATGAACAATACTTGAAAAATTTGCTACTTGATTATATGTTACTCGACTCGTGACAATACTTATGTCATGTGTAAAACAACTTTAAAGGTTTATGCCAGTAAACTTTCTATTTTAGTTATTATACTATATTTGTTTCAGAAAAGTCCTAAGATTTAGGAAAACGACGTGAACGACCGAAAAAACGAGAAGAGCTTTATTTCGACAATTTCATTTCTTTTATGTACATATAAAATGGATGGTGATAATTAAACAGGACGATATTATTTTCTTTGTTGAGCCATTTTGAAACGCTTTCAGAAAGCCATTCGATAAAAAATTTTTCGTTCTACACAATTTTTTCGTTTGTTTTTCAATTAAATATTTCTTGTTGAAGCAAAATTTATAATACGAACGTATGTTCAAACATCTAACGATGATTTTCGATTTTGTACCTTCCACTTCTATGACCTTTTTAAAGTACCTAATACTATCGTTCATGTAAATAAAACTTACTGATAATATTTCTATGCTTGCCAGAATATCATATTTTCAAAAGGGAGACTTAGTGTATAAAACAGTCATTCATGCGCGCTGTAGGATGAAGAATTTAATTTTGAACAAAATTTTATAACTGTTAACTTGAAGTGTACAACCGATTAAATTGTAAGAAGCAATCATATAATCCTATCAGACAAGGCTTTTGTCCAAGATTTTGTCTTGATGATTGTTGCTGCAAATATTTCTTTTGAAATTATTGAACATCTATCAAAAGATACAGAATTTTGTGAAGAATTTGGCGACATACTTGCCATTTGACCTGCTATAAACTTTTTTTCTATCTTGAGTCAGTTATTCTTTTTCCAATCTTCTAAATAAACTAGATGTTATAAAGGGTGTCTCATAATTTGTGGGTCTCAACGAGAATTAGTTTATATTTAATTAAGCTTGTCTCTTTAATAATAGTAATATAAACAGAAGAGACGTGATAGTTAGAGTGTGGGTAGACGTGAATCAGAGCTACCATCAAACCACTTTTTTCTGATCTGACCTGGCTCAGAATGTCTCCCCGTCAAGCTAAGCCTATTGATATTTTTGATTTTACAAACTAGTGCGCGACAAAAGTTTCGCCCACATACATTGAAATGAATTTTTATATTATTTTGATGCATGAGAATAGAATGCAACACATAATGGTTTTCTGACTGTTTGCTTCTTCTTTGAGTAAAGTAAAACTATGTGAATATATCCATTTTTTGGATGATTTGTTGAGCGATGAGATGGGTAGTATAAAATGAGACAGACATTTCGATCTGATGGAATTCTAGTGAACGAATTACAATATGAAATTTCATTCTCACTGTTCTTGATATTGCCCGTTGACAGAGCAAAGCCGAAACTCTTCTCTCTGAATGGTCAAAAGTTATAAATTCGAACTCACTTCACATGATCCATCTGATTTCTCAACAAGTCATCCAAAAATGGATGTATTCACATAGTTTTGCTTTGCTCAAAGACGAAGCAAACAGTTAGAAAACCACTGTCTTGCGTACATGTCTTGAACCCTTCTGCATATATATATCTGTTGCATTCTATTCTCATGCGTCAAAATAATATAAAAATTTCATTTCAATGTGGGTGAAACTTTTGTTGCGCACTAATTAATTTGCCTGAGAGTTTGTATTCATTCCGCAATACTTTCCAAAGCGTCAATTTGTTCTGCTCATATAACGGGCATGTTTATTGACTCAAACATCCTATTCATTGTTATTAATCAATGTCGGGTATAGAGACCGAATCGAATAAGACGATCTTTATTCAGATTCGATCCAGTTTTTCAATATCTTCAATCGATTTGACTCACACTGTTGCAGAAAAAAGATACGATTGTTTTAGCACACATTACATGCTACTAATATTCTAATATTCTTTTTCGAGCAAACTACTTATTTTTATCTTTCAATATTCCATTAACTTTTTCTATATTTGATTCATTGACAGATATTGAAAGATCATTTAGTTTTTTGCAAATAAAATATAAAATAGAAAGTAGATGTTATAAAATAAAATGACTTATAAAAGTTCGATATTGATGAACCCGAGGATAAGGATATAATTGATGCTTGAAAGATATGAATTTCACCGACAGAGTGCATCTTTCAAAGTGGGACGTGCGAAAACTGATTGCTACGAAGATTAGTCATGATAGTTTGTTTCAGTAAAACACTTTATTTGAATGGATTAGTTAACAATATACGAGAAAAATAATGAGCAGAAATCACTCAACAAGCTCGATATTATTACAAATATGCTTTGTTTTTTTGATATGCATATATCGTTAAAAATTAAGATATGTTTTTAGTATAAAACTTACCATAATCATAAATTATTATGGGGTTGTAAAGAAATAGTCATCGAAAAAGTGGCGAACTTATCAAACAATCTTTAAATTATAGTATAACGTCACCTAAATTTCGAAACTTTTGTGTTCCATCATCACATTCTTACTCATTTTTGACATTTATTTAAATGTGATTTACTTTTCATCGTTTTTGTGACATATTTAAAACAAGTTTCAAGCCAAATTGCACATAGACTTGTAGAGAATTTCACACTGAATCTTTTGGTTAAAATATGTATGTTGAGTAAGTCGACAAACGAGAAGAAAATTTGAAAATACCAACATTATAATCCTTTCTGGTCAACGATTATTTTCAAAATTAATTCCTAAATTTATTGTAAATTTTATTTTACTTATATTTTCATAACACCAATAAATAGACAGCTAAAATTCTAGTATAGAGTAGATCTAGACATTTAGTATGTATACTGTGAATATCAACCTCTTCTACTATTGAAACATATCAGAAAAGAATATTGTTCAAGAGAATCAAAACTTATTCTAGACCTTTTATTTCCAGCAAAGATATCAACCTATGTATATTTTTCTTCATAATAGAAAATATCAATTTGATAAGTTCCTTTTTTAAGTGTTTAAAGAAGTTGAACTTTTATTGTTAGAAAAGTCAATGCAATCCAAGTATTTATATTTAGAAGGTAAAAGTAAATTATCATCTGATTGTTAAAAAAACAAAAGAAAAACCTTAATCTATAATATATTATTACAACACACATTATGTCATAACCGCTACTTTATTATGTATTTATTCATGAAACAAAATTTTCGTATAACTTTACTGTATGTTGCGTGTGTTTCTTTCTTTAGAATTATTGATTTCAATATCTTCTATTCGATAGATAGATGGTTTATTTATTTTGATTTCCAAAAGAAAAATATTTTCTTTTCATTCATTCAATGAAATACGAAACAATTAACATTTGTTAGTTCTCGTCTAATTAAAAGCATCATTTTTGACATTCATTAGACTTTTTTTGTCTTGTTTCAAGTTTCGACTTTTTATCATACTCATGTTTGTAATCATTATTACTGATTTTACCAGTTGACGGTATTTATGATTACGGTAGCTATGTCAAACAGCAATATACAGGAAAACTAATCATTATTGCCTTTTATTTGATAGAATCTAATATTTCAATTTCTTCATCAATTGAAATTGAAGATGAAATACTCGTTTTCAACGAGACAAAAAAACATTGAATATTTTATTCAATACATGGTAAAATTACCATGTCACTTTTGCCATCTACTTTATTATTGGATTTCAGATAATTTTGATCAATAGTATCAAACGAGTCAAAATCCCTTATCATCAATTCTCGCTATTCAACATGTTTAAAACGACATGTATCACAAATAGCATCATGGGTTGTGATCCTTTTATATTATTCGATCGATATAAAAGTTTTTAGAAGATTTGTAAATCAGAAATATACTATTGATTCTCAAATAGTTTGCTAAAGAATAACACATTTCGAATGATTTGTAAGCGGCATTTTGATATCACATAGCTTGAAAATCTTTAACAACATGAATAATCTATTTTGTAAGTAAACTAACAAAATTAGCTTTTCTCTAATTTCAATATGTAACTGGTCGTTTATGATGTTATACTTAGTTTGAGAGTACACTGTCGACTATAGTCAATATCCGAAAAGACATATCTTAGCAGACAATCACGTGTCAATGAAAGAAATATATCTCTCGAAGTCGGCATTTATAGTGCACCACAAAAAATCCTATACAGATAATATGCATCTATCTAACAACTTGTTAGAGAACTGCTGTTGAACAATTATATATAAAAGAAATTGTTTATCAAGTGCAAACATGTTATTATTTGTATTAAAAAACCAGACAAATTTTTCTTTCTTTATAAGTACTAAATCTAATGTTTTACATTTTTGATCTAGTGGTTTACTTTTTTAAAATCCTAAAAATTAATGAATTTGTAGAGTTTGAAAAAATCTATAGAATGGTGTATAAGAGAAATGTTGAACAAATAGCTTTTGTGAAAAATCAAGTTTATTATTATTAATGATATATGA